GACAGCTCTGTGGCTATCGTTGATGAACGACAATTTTACAACCATATTTGTCTATTTTCAACGATAATCGTTGTCTACTGAATAATAAAAGTTGTCTGTGAACGATTATCGTCTATTAACGACGTCGTTCAGAGTTACTGAATAGGCCCGTTTTAGTAACATACAACTGAAAAAATCATTCAAAATTTAAATGACAATGGTATTCAAATGACAGCAATGAGAGTTGAGAGCATTGCGCACGTACCGCAAATGTCAAAACACCAAATTCCTACAGCCAAACCCCATAGGAATTCATTTTGTAGGAATTGATTTCCTATAGGTATATCAAGAATACCAAAACTTGATTTTCATAGGAAAGTGACTTATTTCCTATAGGAATTTATGTCGAGAATCGAGTCCCTGGGGGGCTATTTTCAAAGTCGAGAGAATTCATTTCTCTCGAGAGAAATGTCATACGTCAACGTAAAACAGTAATTTTTAGGGTCCTAAGGGCCAGTGTGAACTCACTGATTGTTTCTCACGGTTTATTTAGAGATAATTAATATCCTCCTAAGATTTTTAATCCTCGAGGCCTTTAAAAACAGCGTTTCCACATTGACGTATGACATTTCTGATGAGAATCTTGAGAGAAATGAGTGCTCCCATACTTTGAAAATAGCCCCCCAGTTTAACATAGGGGCGGCCATTTTTATACAAGATTACTAGTACATAGGTGACCAGAAATACAGCAATATGAAAACTTGGTTGCAGATGTCTAGCTCTTTCCACTTTTAAATACTTAATTTTGTACAGATTTTTTAAAAGAAATAATACAATATATTTGAATTAAATTTTTATTCTACAACAAAAAAAAATATTTTAATGTTTAAAAATACATGTTAGGCTGATAAATAATAGGCCGACAAATAATAGATTAAATACCTAAATACTAATTTTAAATGACAAAAGTAGAGGAAGTTAAAAATATTAAAATTTCCAGGATACTTTAAAATTAAATTGATGGTTGCATTTTTGTTTTATTTTAAACAATTTACTTTCTTCTTGTATAATTTCTAAAAGCTACAAATTTTTAGTGAATGGGTCGTCCTTATTGATTCTTCTTCTTCTTCTTTTCTTTTTTTGGGCTATGTTACTGCGAACAATTTACCCAGATATAGTTGATTTGCTTCTACTAGATAATGATTTTAAAGAAATTTAGAAAGGGTGGTTATTCTTCTATCATCCAAATGAGACAAGATGTATCGAATATCAAATGGGGCTGATAAACCAGCCTTCGTTAGTTCCAAATATACATCAAAAAGGGGAGATTTATTAATGGGACACTCTAAGATGATGTGATTTAACGATCCAACTTCTCCACACTCGCAAAATGGGTCATCTTTAATACCAATTCGAAATAAGTGATTCTGCAGTGAATTGTACTAACAACTTAAAAGAAATTTTGTCCAATCTCTATATGGCAGATAACCACAATAAGGAACGAACTGCTTGTTTTGAAACCCTAAAATAATATAAAGACACTGCTTTCATATCCTTTATTTTTGCTAAATCTTATTACTTGTGGAATGTAACATTTGAATCTATTGGCAACAGTCTTCTTATGTTCTTGCAAGATCTTACAAGACATCTTGAATAAAGCCCAGTATAGAGAACTTATACTGGGATTAAAGTCTATTCACAAATGTTAAAATAAATAAAACGTTTATACACTTAGAAAATAATATCCACAATCAAAATATTCTAAAATAACACAAAAAAATTTAACCAAATTCACAAACACATTAAAATTTGACACTTTTGACAGATGGAAAGATAAATTGGTTGCATAAGTTTCAGTTTGTTTATATAAAAATGGCGGTCATTTCTATCTTCTTTTATTAAACACTCAGTAAAGATGCGCAGAGGGTTTTACGCACTGATCTGTATTATTTTACTGGATAGGATATAGGCTATATTTAACATACTAAAAAACCGTTCCACCAAGGAGACCGGAAGTGCAACAATGCTGGCCGATTTGGGCAAATTATGGTGGGTTCACAGAACTAAAATTTGGGATAATTTGACATACCTAACCTATAATTTGATTAGTTTTTCTTCTTATTCTTCTTCTACTCCTTTTGCGGGCGATGTCCTTTGGTACAATTCACCCATAATTTGATTTTTTTATGAAAGAAAATATAAAAATGGAAACGTGAAGCATATTGTGTCTTCAGGAATGAACGTTTATTGTTTATTTCATACTCTTTTTACTTTGTTTTCCACAATAAAAACATCTCATCGTAGCTTGTTGACACAATTAAATGACAAATGTGATGACAAATGGAAATAGAGGTTACGTTAAATAACATCCGGTCCGCCATATTATTTGCCCAAGTCGGCCAATTTTTCGGAACGTTTTTTAGGGGGCTATATCCTATCCAGTAAAATAATACAGATCAGTGGTTTTACGCCGTATACCTATTTAATGCTGCGTTTGAGAATCCACATCGGATGCATCTGAGATGTAAAAAATCTTTGATCACGTGATTCAGTATACGTAAATTGCTGCGTTTGAGAATCCACATCGGATGCATCTGAGATGTAAAAAATCTTTGATCACGTGGTTCAGTATACGTAAATGTAATGGGACAGATGTGTCCGATGTGGATAAAAAAACGCTCGAGATGTAAAAAATGCATCCGATGTGGATTCTCAAACGCAGCAAATGTAATGGGACAGATGTGTCCGATGTGAATAAAAAAACGCTCGAGATGTAAAAAATGCATCCGATGTGGATTCTCAAACGCAGCAAATGTATGTGGAAATATCACATATTTTAGGGTGCTTTTAAATGACATTTAAGCGTGTTAAACTGTCACTAATCGGACTAAACCTAACGCGAAAAGGGTCGTTTGGAGTTAAAAGTGTTAAAGGAACTTGGCAGACCGAACGCAATGATTCATAACATTGTCAGTTTTAATACTTTTACGGCCATATGCACCATTCTCCTGTTAATAGTTATCAGAGAGTTAACTACATAACTGACTGTTAAATTGACAATTTTGTATTCACCATTACAAAATACGACTAACAATCTGTTAAAGGCGTTGTTAATGTAACAAACCAAATTTGGCCTGTTAATTTTATTTATCAGACTATTTTAATTTTACTTGTTTATTTTGAAGGGCCATATAAGGTTTTATAGGATATGAACAGTAATATATACGTAACAGACTGATTTCTTACTGAAACTTGTAAATAGATGGTACATAGATGGTGCATAGCAAATTCTGTTAACACACTGTTATTTTTTATACTACTGTTAGATAACAGAGGACTTAGCTGGACAATGGTGCATATGGCCGTTAATCACAGACATCGCTTTTAATCGATATTTCGACGTCAAAAAACTAGCAACACCAGCGCCCTCTGAAAATGGTGTTAGTTTTATTAGAGAGAGATAGACATATGTAAAGATCAATGTAAAAGAAAAAGAGGGTCATATATGTAATTTAAATGGACCACCGAACATATTTTCCTATTAAGTTACACGTCTCTGTTGTCTCTGATATATCAAGCTGACATATTTATAGCAACATAACCTAATTTATTTTCAAAGCCAGATTTACACCATCTAATAATATTTAAATTTAGCTTTAACTTTAAATTTATTAACGATTATCCCTGTATTTGATCACACATTATATTAAAGTGAAATTTCAAGGGGTAAAATAATTGATTTCTTTGTCATTATTTTTGAAAACATATTTTTTATGGGTGTAAAACGGGTTTGAATTTAGTGATAGCAGCGCGCTAAGCGCTTACGGTTCAACTACCAACAAGGAAACAAGTCCCGCCATTTATTCAAACCTTCTCTTTTTATTTTTCTATGGTTTACACCATAATAATGTTTTTGTAAATTCATTATTTTTTATAAACAAAGCAAAGTTATAGATCATGTAAGTTTTAACAGAGCCAAAATTCTGACTGTAAAAGATACAAAAAATGTAAAATTATTGCATACAAATGTAAGGAAAATTAATAGGCAGAATGACAATCATTTTATATTCTGTAAAAATAGAAAGTTAAAGGTTTACAGAATCTGTAGCATCCCGCAGAATAGCAACATTAATGTTTTAAGGGTCTATTTATACTCCCTTATTATTAGTATTTGCATTAGTATTATGATTAAGCATTAAGTTGAACCTTCACAATGTAATGGGGACATTTATACTCGATTTATGATTAGTATTAGCATTAATATGTATGCTTAATAATTGACAGGTTCAACTTTTAAATTAAACATTAAATTTCTTCTTTTCTATAAATAATCAATTGCGTATTTGGCCTTTGTTTTTAATAGACAACGGATAAGGATAATTGACAATACACATATGATTATGTTGTTTATATGTTTGTTCCAACAAGCTCGAAAATGATAATATTTCGGTACAAATCATGCTCTGTATACAATTTTTGTGTATCAGCAGTGTTCACCGATTATAAAGTTGACAAATGACATGTCACCACGAGGAAGCAAAGGCCTCTTTTCTGTCTGATTTGTATCAAATTTCTGGTTCTTTTTATTTGTTATAAATTTGAGTTTTAAATCCGTTAAAATGTCCTTAATTAAACCTATTTTTGAATAATAATATTTTTAAATAAAACTAACTAGTAAAAATATTAATAGGAACACATTTAAAACTCAAATATCTTAAAAGAACACAACCGGCCTCTTACACATTTCTTCAGTAACCATATATTTTGTTGACTGCAGAATTATATCTTATTAGGTATTAGGTTTAAAAAAGAATTACTAATACTAATTATAAAACGAGTATAAATACCTTTTTTGAATGATTTAACAAATTTAATGCTTAATCATAATACTAATACAAATACTAATACTAAGGGAGTATAAATAGACCCTTAGTCTTTTAGTACAAAAAGGAAGAAGCTATTATATTTTCATTGATTTTCTAGTACAGTTTAAAAAATTCTACTGGCAACACTGTGGTGGTTACAAGGCTGTCGCTGTCATGCTGTCAGTCTCAATCATTTGTTGATTTCAAGATTTTTCAGTTTTTAATAGATTTACGAAATTTTTATTTTCAAACCATAATTGGCAGTGTATTTTCAGCATAAATGCTTGATTAATATTTATAAAGATGATTTTAATAAAGCAAGTGAAACTATAGGTACAAATAGTTGTCTTTTGTGGTTTTATCGAAAAGAACAATTAGATAAAATAAAAATGAGTCATATATATCTGAAAATATAATACATTTGTTCTTATTTTAGGGATTTACATACTGCCGAGAAAAATTACAATGAGATAATAATAAAAATGTTATTAAATTCGTTCTGAAGCAGCAGCTCTACAATGAGGTCTAACAACAAAAATACCTTATTAAAAGTTGTGATTTTGGGGGATGGTGGTGTAGGGAAAAGTTGTTTAATGAATAGATTTGTGTCTAATCAGTTTGATGAACATTCTTTTCACACAATTGGTGTTGAATTTTTAAACAAAGACATAGAAATTGATGGTGAAACTTATACTTTGCAGGTTGGTATTTTATTATTTTTTTAATATTAAAGCTGGATTTATAAACTTTGTTCAGTTCACGCTACGCTACGTTCGAGTTCAACATAAACCAAGTAGAAAGTTCATAGTCATTTATAAAATTCGGTTGTTGACATTCGCTTTCAGTTGACTCTGAGAGATGACAACTTTTAGGTAATATATCATGAAGCATAAATGGCAGATATTACTTTTGAAATCTTACAGAAAGCTTGTAGATGCTTTGAAATACTACACATAACTGTTTTGGGTCCGCTGACACTTAAAAAAATCTTTTAAAATCATCAAAATGTGTTCAGAGAAGCAATTTTAAGCGAACTACCAATTTTTTTTGGTATTTACCACAAAATTTATTGGTTATTGGGTGAATTTATTGAAGGGGTTAGTATACTGACGTCACAAGTGGCAATCGCTTAAACGATATGGTAATAACCATGGTTGTAAGTTTGTTTATTTTCAAACTATATTATTTATTGTCTTACAAGAAATAATAAGATCCCAAGAAGAAATTAGTCTCTGAAGTCCCTTTGCAATTTTTACTCATCAAATAATCTTCTACCATTTTTGAATATGATTTTAATGTTTAAAAAAGGCACAAAATCAGGTTAAGTATACCTAATTTGTACAGTACTAGTCGTTACAAAACACTCACTCCAGTTGTAACTGTCAATTACCTATTCGCTCCATGCGAAGTCATGGAAATTCGTGCATTTTAGGAGGATATTTTGTAATTTTGGCATATCAAATACACATACATTTTACTTTTTTTCAAAAAAGTAAGTAAAAACAATACAATAAGCAACCCGAGTTGCTCTGTTGAAAATTGTACAAATACTAGCAAAAAAAAGAATTAAATGGATAGGTGCACAATAAGAAGAAAAATTACCTTTATTTTTGTAATAATTACAGTAATGCTGGAAATAGTAGACATCAGAAACTTGAAAGGTTTCAAATGAACAATAAATTATCATATTACGATATTCTTTAATATCCCTTTATTCTTAAATGTTCATTCAGCAAGGACTAGATTTTAAAGATTTCTGCCTTTGATTATTATATGTGACTGGAATGCAATTTTGTGACTTACTGATGGAAAACCAGTTTTTATCATTCATTCTGTTTTCTTTTGAACAAAAATGAAAATATAAATAACGATCCGTCTTTTATACATTTTAACTTCACGCTATTATTTAAAGGTATTTTTTTTATTTTGACAGAATAGGACGAGCGGATAAATCTCGAGTTACGTTCCGTGTTCCATCTCTTTTTAATCGTGTTGGTGTTGGTTCTTTGTTGTCAAATAATTGAGGTTGTGTTGTGATGTGAAAAGTAAAATTTGAAGGGGTTGAAGGTTCATTAAATGCGTGTTTCAAGAAGGTCGAAGATCTTGTGCTCCCTGTACCTACTTTTCAGGAGTGGTTTTAATTTTTCAGTAATACCTATTACTCGTATAGTTATTTACAATGGGCGTAATATGTTTAGTGTGCAGTAAAGGTTTTTCCAATCAATCTAATTTAAATAAACATACGAAAAAAGTACATAATCTCAAACTGAAGACTGTTTGTTACGATCAGTTAAAATTTATGTACAAGTGTTTGGAAAAAAACTGTAATTGTTCTTTTCGATATAATGTGGGATTGAAAAATCATTTATCTGAGGTGCATAACAAAAGGATTGAAAGTGAGGAGATGGAATTTTCAAACAAAGAAGGTAAACTTGGTAAACATAATATAGGTTTGAAGTTTTGACCTTTTTATTTTTTAGAATTCCTTGTCTGGAAAAAATCCATAGAGAAAATAAACAAGTGCAATTATGTTTCTTCCTACACATCAAAGTTTAAGAACAGGCCTGTTAAATATTACTTATGTAATAGATCTGGTAAGCAAATACCTTCATTTCATTACAATTAAATTTGGAGAAATAGGATTTCTCTGGCGCACCGCCATGTGTTTTATAAAAAGAATGATGTATTAGGTATTCTTCACTTAGAAACTTCTGTTTGTTCTCAGGAAAAGTCCAAACCAAAAGCTTGAATAAAAGACTCCCCAAAAGTCAAGGATCATGCAAGTTAAACCGATATTGCATGAGCATGATTAAGGTAATCGAAGGAGAAAAATTATTAATGACATGGATTAAAACACACTATGGTCATGCACCTGACTTACAACATATAAGGCTTCCACAGATAGATAAATCAATAGTAGCATCTAAACTTACATTGGGAGTACCACCATCGAGGTAAGTATATATACTAAATTTCCTAAAACCATTCACCATTAATAATTATTTTTAGAATTTTAGATTCATACCGTGACAAAATAAACGAGGAACAACTAAGTCGTGAAGATTTAATAACACGGAAGGATATTCAAAATATTAAAAAAGCCTATCATATTAATATCTCAGAGGGAGTTAAACATGATAATGATGCAATTTCAGTCGATTTATGGGTAAATCAGTGTAAGAAAGAAGAAAATAGTTGTATACTGTTTTATAAACAACAGGGTGTGGAAGATGACAGTAACAAGTTGTGTAGTGTAGATTTTTGTTTAATTGTAATGACAGATTTTCAAAAAAACATGGTCAAGAAATTTGGGAACAATATAGTAGCATTAGATGGGACTCATGGCTTAAATAATTACGATTTCGAGCTGACTACTATTATGGTGGTAGATGAATTTGGGGAAGGGGTACCAGTTTCTTTTATGTTCAGTAATAGAAAGGACACATACATTTACGAACTTTTTTTTGGTGTGGTTAAATCAAATGTTGGATTAGTATCTGCCAAAGTATTTATGACGGACATTGGTTCCACTTTTTACAGTGCTTGGTGCAGTACAATGGGGCCAGTCATTCATCAGCTATTTTGCTCCTGGCATATTGACCGTGCATGGCAGGAAAACTTACCAAAAATAAGCAATAAAGAAAAACAATCAGAGGTTTATAAAGTAATAAAATGCTTGCAGCAGAATACTAGTGCAGATATATTTCCTCAATGTCTTCAAAATTCCATTTCAGAAATGCTTTTAGATGGTGAAACCCATGACTTTGGGGTGTATTTTCAAAATAATTACAGTAAAAATTATGAAAAGTGGGCATACTGTTTTAGGGCATGTTGTGGAATAAACACAAATATGCGATTAGAATCCATGCATAAAACAATCAAGTACTTTTACTTAGATGGAAAAAAAGTTAAAAGATTAGACAAAAGTTTGCATGTGCTCCTAAAATACGTTAGAGATAAGTCTGTTGATAGAATTATCAAAAACGTTAAAGGTAAGCACACTATTCACACTAAAAATATTTTATTAAGGCATAGAGCTGCTCTGTCTAGTGAATTTTTTATTGAGTTTGACAAAGATAATAAAACCAGGTGTTTAATTAGTACTGTGTCTGCCAAACAAGAAACTGGAGAAATATATTGTGTAGAAAAACTTCTAAATGAAAGCTGCTGTGATTTAATGTGTATCGATTGTAAGATTTGTTACCACACATATTCGTGTACCTGCAATGATTTTTGCATTAAAAACTCCATTTGCAAACACATTCATTATGTTGAAATGTCTTATAGTAAAGAAAAGAATATGCCAGAATCAGAAAAAATGGTAGTTGAAGAAAGTGAATGGAATACCAACTCACCAGGAGAGAATGTTAATAAATCCGATATTTTAAAACACAAATTTTCTGCACATATATTAAGTACAATGACTAAGTTGCAAAATATTAATAAAAGTACTTTAGATGATGAAGTAATTTTACAAATTCAAAGTCATTTGGATATAATTGACAAATTAGTTGATTTACCTACCAGTTCAAATGAATCATTTATTCCAGTTAACTGCAGTGAACCCACAAATAAAAAAATTAAAAAACAGGACAGATTCTTTTCAACCCATAAAAAGCGGAAAGTTAAAAAGAAGCAGTACAAAAAGCCAACTGTTTTGGAAGCAGCACAGATAAATAAGAATTTAAAAAGTAATTTTAAGCAGTTATATATTTCCTCGAATTCTTCAGTAGATTATAATTATTTATTATAAATTGTTTGTTTTGTTTAATATATACAGGGTGGCCAGTTACTTAGTTTGGCGAAGTCCAATATCACGGTTGTTCCTTTAAATACCTATAATAAAATAAATTATCCAATAAAATGTCCATTTTTTTTTACTTACCTTTAGCTTTTGCTCTCACTATATAGTTTTTTATCATATTGTCACTAAATATAAATACAAAATTTCTTTATCTTGTCAATTACACCAAAATACAATGTTTTAAAATGTTGAATATAAACTGTAATTTACCAACTATCATATGTAATGTCTTTTTACTTACCTTTGTAGCTTTTGCTCTCTAATATTTTTATCATGTCGTCACTACCTGTAAATGCAAAATTTATTTCTTATCTTAATCTTATAAATCTCACCAAAATACCATATTTAAAAATGTTGAATAAGCCATAAGAGTTAATTTACCGAGTATCATACAAATTTAAAAATACCGTCACACATCCAGCCGTCCAATGAAACGACGAACAGACGCGACCAATGAAAAGTGGAACGTAACTCGAGATTTATCCGCTCGTAGAATAGGTTGGACTCTTCAAAGACAACTTATTAAACTTAGGCAACTTCTCATACATTTTCCAGTAAATTCTGTTGCCTGCCTATATTTTATTATTGATTATACATAATTTTCTTTAATTTTAGCGATAAAAATATATAATAATAATAATAAATTAATGTTTTACTTGTTTTACAAATCCCTATACTTTTATTAAAACCAACATATATACTTTTTAATTACGAATTCTATTAAAAATTGTATTTGTCAGTATACGCAGAAATAGTCCATTAGTACCAAAACGAATTGTCGCGCACAGAGCGAGTAACCAATAATCAAAAACATCTCTGGAAGAAGGTAAATACCGCAAAATTTTGCTTATAACTTTGACGGAAAACAGTTGATTTATGACGTCACGGATATATTAC